TGTCTGAACTGAAACACAGCAACTCAAAATAGATCATACACACACACACACACACACACACACACACACACACACACACACACACACACACACACACACAAATATATATTCAACAATAACTTTCAAGTCTATCCAATAAGGTGATGTGTAACATTTTTAAACATTTTATCAAGTAAACTCAGAAGTTCACTTATCCGTCCACTAAGGGGCAGCCTTGTTCTTATACCCAGCCTCCGTAGCGAAGTTTGTTGGGCAGGTAGATGTTGGTCAGGAAGTCAGGGTCTATGGCAGCCAGGGATTGGATCTCAGCCTTGACCTTAGTCTGCTGCATCAGTTCCATCTACAGTAGGAACAAACAAAACAACTGTAAGGATCATGTGAGAGGAAACTGTTCAAACGTGTCAATCATAAGGTCAGGGCTGTCCCAATCCTGGTCCTGGAGGGCCGCTAGTCTGAATATTTTACTTGTTTCTCCGCTCCAACACACTTTATTTGAATACATTAGTGATTAACAGGCTTCTGCAGAACTTGAAGTAATTCAATCACTGAATCAGGTGTGTTGGAGAAGAGAAACAAGTAAAACGTGCAGAATAGTGGCCCTGCAGGACCAGGACTGGACACCCGTGCAGTAGATATTTAACAGCCACTGAAACAAAATCGGTTCTCACTGGTATGTCTCCCATGACTAAAATGCTAGTGTTAATTTTAAATGTATCTGTACAGTTGCTTTGATAAATCTTAATTGATCTAAGAGCTGTATAGTTAGGCCAAACACAAGAAAACATCTAAAACAATAAAATCTGAAATAAAATAAATATGAATGGAAGCTGAAGCTTTTTATCACCATATTTAGTATGTTCTTCTAACTTTTAAGCTGAGAAAATTGAGTTTGAATTTTTCAGTAATCTTTGATTTTAGTGTGGAAAGAGCAACAAAGAATCAACTTTGTTTGGTCTTTTTGTTTTAGATTTGTTGAATTGCAGTAAAATGTACCTCTAAGGACTAGTAAATAAAAAGTTGTTGGTAGAAAGTAAAGCCAAATAAAGATATGCATTTCCATTTTTTCCTTTTATCTGTTAGGTTGTTCTAATCTGGAAAAGTTAACTTGTATTTTTACAAGAATTATTTGTTATATAACATTTGTAAATAAATCTGACAGAGATCGCCTTGGCTTGGACTAAGTTTTGAATTTTGTCTCCCTTGTGTAACTGAGACATCACTGTTAGACCTTTCCTCTATTGGCTTCTATAAATACAGCGACGCCATACATTGTTACATGACTCAGTGGCATCACAAGTACTGTATTTGTAATGTTGGGAGGACCCACTGGCAGGGGGGTCTTGGGGTCCTCCCCCACAAAACTTTGAATGAAGTAAATGCCATGTCCTGCATTCTGGTGTATTTTAACAGGTTGTTAAACAGACTTTTACCTACATAGGAAAACACTTGGTGTCAGTATTCTTTAGGTCAAGTGGAATACATTTATTTGTTAAACAATAACAACTCTGGGTGAAGTAATATTTTATGACAAATGTGGGGGTTCAAATAAATTAAATTTTAAATGTGATGGGGAAACTTCCCTTCCCAAATGATTGCTGTGATGTCTGTCATTTTATTAAAAAAAAATCTAAAATCTACATTTTAAAAACATTTACAATGAACAAGATTTTTCAGTTTTAAAGCCATCACCTCTTCAATGTTTGTTAAAACAGTTTTATTTACTTGTTGATGTTTACTTTGGTAAAAAAAAAAAACCTGTAATTCTAAATACACAAAACTGCAAATAAAAACTAAAACCAGCACAAACTACATCTACTGTAGTGTTATCCAAAACTATTAAGGTATTTGCTTTTTAATGACATATTAGTTTTAATAAATATGATTTTGGTCTGTGAGAGAAAACTAGAGTACCTGAAAACTCACTCATGCACAGGGAGAACATGTAAAGACAGGAAAGTTGATCTTGCAATCTTCTTCCTTAGAGGCAATATGTTGATCTAGCAACTGTGCCATTGTGCTGCCTAATTTTATATTTATTATATAATTAGTTTTAATTATTGAATTCAAATTTGGTTAAAAATATATCTATGAATATAACCTCCTGAGAACCTCCATCTTTATTGGAGAACATTGGTTTTAGACTGGTCTGGTTGTCCTTTATC